TACATGAAAATGCAAATGGTGGTAGCTCACGGTGGACGTTGTTCTGAACTCGTTGTGTTTGGTGATGACATAACTGATGGTGGAAGGGATGATTTGGAAAAGATAACAAAGGTTATTGCCTTAATGCATTTGCTTTTTGATATCACAGTTTACTTAAATCCATTGCTCATTTAACAAATATTACTCTTGTTCTCCCATTTAGTCTCTAACTTTTGCTATTGAACTTTGTTAGCCTCATGGCATTTTACATTTTCGCAACTCACCTTTCAGGCATTAAGAAGGCAATTTTGACTTAGTTCTCTTCTCCAAGAAATCATGTCTGAAATACTAGCTTAGCTTTCGATAGGAGTATATTTTATAGAAGCACCTTATTTTTACATCATATTTCCTTTTTAAGGGTGAAAGTATCTAAGCTAATTCCATTTCGAGGTGTCTTAACTTGACCTATATCTTTGTTTTTTATATGAGAAGTAACCTGCAGATCTTGTTTTTCTCACTCAATGTATCTCTTCAGATTGCAAGGGAAATGGTGATCAGTCCACAAAATGCAAGGTTAGGGCTAACTCAACTAACCAAAAGAGTGGGGCTGTTAGATCGACCGGATAGCTCAGATGGTGAATTAATAAAATATAGGGTATAAATCTCAAGTTGTAAATTTTTATACGAACATCCTATTTCTTTTTAACTAATTATTTTACCCTCCTTTGTTGTGCTAGTGGGATGATCCTCATGTAATTCCTGCCAATATGACACCTGAAGTCTCTGAGCTGTTTACTCGAGAGTTGACTCGGGTAATTTTAGCTTGCTCTGTCTTTTATAACTGTTGTTTGCTATTGTGATAACCTACCATTAGTCTATTAGTAATGGGTGCTACTGTCTGCATAGTAGTAACAAATATCTGGTTCTTTTTAATCTGATTCCCATTGGTCAAGAACAAAATATAGTGAAATATCTTTCTTTCTGTTACAAAGAAGAGAGGTTTAATTGCAAATATATTTTTTCTGTTGTGATATTCACGTAGGACCGATATGAACCTCTGTTGGAGTTTAATCACATGATTACCTGATGAACTGTCTTAAATTTACCTGAAAGTAGGAATTTTGGCATTTGGGGGGAAATCTCACTCTTATATCTGATTGTGGATTAACACGTAAAATTGCATTCTACTACCATACTAGGGACATAATCTAGTTTTTCCCAACAAATTGGTTTCACTTCAAAATAGATATTTGGCCCCTTCGATAAATCTCAATAAAATATGTGCATGCCTTTAAGTTATTTGTGTGTGGGATTTTTGTTTGTTAAGCAGGAGCTGATCCCCCCCCCCCTTTAAGTATAGAGCTGAAAGACTGTTTAATTTTCCAACATTTTAACTTCAACTGAAATTATGATGCTTGGAGTTCATGCAGTACATTGAAGAGACTGAAGAGCTTGCAATAAATGCTTTGAAAGACAACAGGCACATACTGGATATGATTGCAAACGAACTGTTGGAAAAGTCAAGGATAACAGGATTGGTATGCTAAAAGTACTACTATTCCATATATTAGTTGAATTAATGTATGTTTTGCTTATGGTTTGTCAATGATAAGTGTTTAACTTAAAATAAACTCTTAGGATAGATCATATTCAGTTGAACCCTTTCAAGTTTGGAATCATCTTTTATAAATGTTGTTCATCTCAATAGAACATAATTAAGGTTGGGAGATTACATCCATACCTTAGCAATTCTTTAGTTTTGGCATCCATTATTGGCTATGTATCTCCTATGGAGCTCCTATAACTCGGCTTGGGGTTTGTGTCATGCTCCCTGCTAATCTTGAATTGTTTTTTCTTGTAGGAAGTTGAGGAGAAAATTAAGGGACTCTCTCCAGTGATGTTCGAGGACTTTGTCAAACCATTCCAGATCAACTTGGATGAGGTATTTTTATTTGCATTTCAACAACTATTATGTTTCATTACACCTTTGAGAATGTAAGGACAGAGAATTTTTTAACAACCGAGATTTAGTTTAGTTCTTTTAGCATATCTAGTGCAGTCTTTGTACGGACACATTCCTTAAACCATCAACTTTTGTGGTGAAAAAACTTTCCAACCCTTACTGGATTTATCATTTTGGATATAGTCTGTCCGAGTTGTTTATGCATTTTATTCGTCTTTTTGTCGAAACTGCGTGCTGTCCCTTTGTCTAACAACTAAGTTGTCTAGCGAAATAAATATTCTTTACCTTGTTCTTAATGTACTTTCTTGTTAAAATACACAGGAGGGACCTTTGCCTCATAATGATCGCTTACGATATCAACCTCTGGACATGTATCCTGCTCCCCTTCACAGATGCTAATGGTCCCTAGATTTAGAAAAATCCCGGCATGCAACTCTTACGGTTGTTTTTTGTTGTTGGGATATCAAGCAGCTAGTAGATATCTAGCCCCACCTCCCAAGTTTCAATAGTCATGTCCCTTAACCTTGGAATTTTGATGGTTGCTTGAGTTATTACATGCATAAAGGCCTCTGCCCCTTGTGAAAGCTTGCTTGTCATGATTCAATAATTTTCTTGAAGTCCATTGTAGCTTTCATAATTGCTAAGATGAGTTGCAGTTAAACTTTTCGACACATTGGAGTCTGTATTGCTAAAACTGAGTTCAAAGTCTCAGTACTCGTCGGCTTGCCGGCAATGGCGTCATAATTCAGCTGTGTTGAAGTTTTTATAAAGCAGTTTATTTCAACAAAGGAAGGTGGAAATCCATGAATTCAGCTATGGTCTTCAATGAAGCAAAGCTTCATAATTGTTTTCCTGAACTGTAATAGTATTTTATTTTATTTTTTCTGAATAGTTCGTCTATTTCCATTCAGGTTTACTTGTGATTCCTTTTCTTTAGAGCAATTTATATGCAGAAAATGAAATATGGAAAGTTGTATGTTGTTTGATACCTTATTCCGTAGTTTTGTGAACATAAAATAAAGGTTATATTTTTATATTGCCAAACTTCTAACGTCACTTGTTAGTGATTCTACGTGATTAAATATTTTAATTTATTAAATAATATATTATTACTTCAAAATAATAAATATAATTGGAAATAGGGATCAGTTTGTAACAAAAATGACTGTTTCATGTTATTGGGTGAAATTTTCATAAATGTTTTTACATAAAGTACTTATTTTTTTTATTATAAAATAAAATTTAATTACAAATAAATAAAACAAAATTTGATTTGAGTAATCATGGTTTTTGAACTTGCAGATTGTTGATCCTCGCAGACTACAGTTTGAGTTGATTTTCAGTTTCTTTGTTTTGTCTTAATTGAATATCTCAATTATTTTGATAATATAAATATTATAATAATAATAAAAGTTTATATTTTCAATTAAACTATTAGATAATATTAAAAATATAAATGTATTGTAAATTAATTTTAATTTAAATTGAAATGGTCTTTGAGATTAATGGCGTTACACCCTTAACAGAAATTAATGGTGGAGTGATTGCGATATAATAAATTAATAATATTAAGATCATAATAGAACTTTTCAAGGATAAAAAACAGAAATGGGAATTACGAGTGATCATTTATATTTTTTACTATAAAAGTAAACCAATGGGTCGGCCCGGTAACAGATTGAGAACCCCAACATCAATCCACGTCTTCCCCAATTTTAAAACCTTAAAGTGGGTCCAATTTCGAATCAGGGGTTTCGGATAAGATGGGCGGTGGAAAAATCAGGCTATTATTTTGTTTTATTAGTAAGCGACAATAAAAACATATTTTTTTGGGGTAAATTACGCTAGTGCGTGCTTTCGTTTCATTTTATTTGGACCATCCAACTTTTAAAAGTTATATTTTGATCATTTATATTATCAAGTAATCATAAACTGATCATTTATATTATCAATTTATTATAAAATGATCACTAAAACATTAACTTCTATTAAAAAATGGAATTCATTTTAATTTAATATCTGAACTTTAGTTGAAATATGAATATAGTATTTTTCATTTTTTTTACCTTTAAACTTAATGAAATTAAAAGTAAAATAAAAAGATTATACAACTCTCTTTCCCCCCCCCCCCACAATCTTCATTGATACCATCGTCTGTTTCTCCCACTATTTGGTCAACAATCATCATCAAGCAATAGTTTTTCTTTTCGTCTATTGTTTTATCGGTATAGATTTCTCTAAAAAAACCTCAAATGTCACAAAATAAAAAAAATTATCAAATCTCTATATGTTGTTGTTAGATTCCACTACTATTGAAGTATGTTATTCGTAACAAGCTTTCTGTTTTTCTCACCATTAAGATCTAGCTAGAACAACATTGAACTCCATGAATTAGGATGTATCAAAATGAATGAAATAATATTTCTATACTGTAAAGTTATTTACATTCATGATATCGTTCTTAAAACATGAATGATCAAGATGTTAGCAACAATGAAGAGGAGTTCTAACCAAAATTTTACTATAATTTGTTGTCGAATTTGTAAATTAAATCTTGAAAAGTTTTGAAGATTTATAGGAAACTTAGAATTTTCATAAGTTTTTTTTGAGAAAATTAATTGAAGAATTGGAAATAAGAGGAAGAAACAAATTTTATATACATTTTACGAATTAACATATGACGAACGAAGACTAGACAATAACTTAAAGACAACGAAAATTATAGTTCTTAACGAAATAAAGATGAGAAGAAAAAATGATATGACAAAAGTTCATGAAATTAGAAATGAATTTTTTTTATTAATGTGTTACATCATCAATATAATAATAATTAATATTTAAGTAATTATTTATGTTATAAATAGATAATATAAGTGACCTTTTTGTGATAAATCTTATAAGTGACTAAATTATAATTTATTAAAGTTGTGTGGTACAAATAGAAAACAAAATAAAATAAAAGTGACCACCACCGTAATTGAACCATTATTTTAATTCAATTTTAGAATATTTGTATTGTCCGTAGCGCAATCCTAGGTGTTCGAAAATGTGCACAAATCAGTGTGCTGCGAGGCTTTGCGGAATCTCGTGTAGTTGGGTTTATCCGTTCATTGTGGCAGTTAAAATGCTCCTAAACCGCTTTTATAGGGTTCTTTAACTTTCTCCTTTCTCAGTTTACCCTACTTTGTTTTCTCTTCAATCCAGGTCTGTTCTTCCATCCTCTGTTATACTGTATCATTTCTTTTTATGTTTTGGCTTTAGATTTCAGTTTAGTTATTGAAATTTTGACTTCTTTTTTTTTTGGGGTGGTTTTGCCTTTTGATTTTGTTTTGATACTCTTAAGATCTGCTTCCTATTGTCTCCATGGTGGATCTTCCTTGTTTAAGCTGGTATATATCCTTGTTTTTCATTTACAACTTAGGAGAAGAATCCAAGTAACTTGAATCTCCTTAACTCTTTGAACTGAGATTCAAGAAATCATATTGTTAGAATAATGGAATGGATGTATTTTTTTTAACTTTCTAGCATGTAAGATGTGGTATCAAGTTGTGTGCTGTCATTTGTGTTGTCCTTGTTGATGAGATGATTTGACTGGTTTTTGATATGTAACATCTGCAACTACAACAATTTCTCTGCTTTATTTTTAGCTGATCACTTGTTATAGGTAGAATGCAACGTGCAGTTCAAGCTTTTTCGGTGCATGGAACTACAGTGAAAAATGCGGTCTTGCATCGCATTCGGGTTGTCAATCCTTTTATTCGACCCGTTATGTTTTCCAGATCAGTTTCATCTGCTAGTATGGAAGAACATGGGTTTGAAAGCACAACTATTTCAGACGTTTTGAAAGCCAAAGGTAAAGCTGCAGATGGCTCCTGGCTTTGGTGCACTACAGATGACACTGTGTACAATGCTGTGAAGTCGGTACGCATCTTTACAATTTTTGCAGATTCTCAGCTTCTTCATAGAATACTTGATTTACGTTCTTATTGAGTTCAATCTTTTTCAGATGACTCAACACAATGTTGGTGCCCTGGTGGTTGTACAACCTGGAGATCAGAAATCAATTGCGGGTATCATCACAGAGCGAGGTAGTTAACAAGTACAACTTGATAAAATCAATTTGGCACCAAAATTTTAAATTTTGAATGAATGTTGGATTTAGTATATAGGCTAGGACTTTTGTGTTGTTTGTCGCGAATTAGTCTATCTGAATCAAACAGAACTAAGGTCTGTAAGATTAAAGTAGATTTCGAAACCTATAAGCTAAAGCATGTTGATAGTTGGCTTGTCCTATCCCAATGTCACCCTTCACCTTTGCCATTGAATGCGGTTATTAACTTCGGTGTGGATTTTTCTTCTAGCTCTTTCATGTCAAACAATCACATACCGCACTTTTCTTAAGCATTGCTTATACCAAATTTAGGGCGCCCATCAAATTCTTTCTGCTCTGCTAAGATTATAATTTGCTTCATTTTGCATTTCTTAACTATCAAGAAGAGGTTTTGAAGGATTTTGAGGTGTGGTACAGTTTTGATTTTTAGTTTATTTCTGCTGTTTGATGTTATACTTGCAGATTATCTTAGGAAGATAATAATACATGGAAGATCATCCAAGTCAACTAAGGTCGGGGACATCATGACTGAAGAGGTATTGGTTCTTTTTGGCTTTTATTCGAGTAAATTCATTGGTTTACTTCCATCATATATGGCTGATCGTTTAGATGTACATATATTCCATTTTGTTCGTTTTCACAATTCTAAGATCGTATTATATGGTGGTTGAAGAACAAGCTCATCACGGTCACACCTGAGACCAAAGTTCTGCAAGCAATGCAACTGATGACAGGTAATATGATCTGCGACCGTCTATGATATCTGTTGTTGGTGTTCATTGAGACCGTTCCTTTTGGACCTAGTACTAACCTATGTCATTTTGGCAGATAACCGTATCAGACACATTCCGGTGATCAATGACAAGGAAATGATTGGCATGGTTTCTATCAGAGATGCTGTTCGTGCTGTGGTGAGCGAGCAACGTGCAGAGCTGGACTGCTTGAACGCTTTCATACAGGGAGGATACTAGAAGATGATGAAATCTTGTATGTTTCATCCTCTGGACTTAAGCAAGCAAGCGGAGAGCTTGCAAATGTGCAGTGTTTTTGCTCTTCTTCAGAGTTCTTTTGTGAATATGCAAGTGATGTTGGAATAATTACAGTGTGGACTAAGTGTTCAAGAATAAACATTCTCATGTTGCTTCTTCCTATTTGTCTAGAAAAGTGGCAATGGCAACATTAATCTGTTTAATTTTTGGTTTTTTATCGGTTTGCAAACGTATTTACAGTTCAGCCATAGGGCTGTAAACAAGTCAAGTTTGAGTATTGTAAGTTCGACTTGAAAAGTTCAAATACGGGTTTGATTCGACAAAAAAATTCACGAGTTTAAAATTTTTCAAGCTCATCTCGATCTCAAAATAAAAAATTATAACTCCACACAAAAGCTCATGAGCTTAAAATTTTCAAGCTCGATTCGAACTCGAAATAAAAAATTTAAGCTCAACTCGAGTTAAAAAAAATTGAACTCAAAATGTTCTCAGACTTGACTCGATTAAAGCTCAAATTTAAAATTGGTTCAAACTTGAACCTTAAGTACATGAAAACATTATATTATATTTTAAAAATAAGTAATATATAAATGTTAATATTATTAATAATTTAACTTAAAAAAAACTTCAATATATTACTTTCTTGAATTGTTTGAGTTTTTTGAGTCGGTATCAAGTAGTTTGCTTGGGCTCTTCAAGAACTCAAGTCGAGTGAAACTTGAATCGAATTCAATTAATTTGAGTGTTAACCAATTTTGATCGAATCAAACTCGAATAGCTTACGATCTGTCTCGTCTTATTTATAGTTCTATTCAACTCTTTGCTCAAGTATCAAGTAAAAATAAATAAACAAAGAATTAAATTAATTTTATAACATATTGTGAAAATTCATTTTGTCGAAACGATTTTTTTCTCAAAAGATGAAAATGGTGAGATTTTGAAAACCACGTCAATTTCTAACTTATCTCTTTCAATTGGTTTTTAATTTAAAAACAAATGCGATTTAAAAACCTCTCGTTTCGAAAAATTTTGAATTTTCTTTACGATCAAAAAATACGATTCGAAGAGTCGCCACCAATCTTTGATTAAGGTGTGATTGGACACCCAAAAATGTTTTGTCATTTTAAATAAAAATTAATTTTAATTAAAACAACAAATTGAGGTCTGCGTTACCAAAAAATGAGTTCGGGAGTCGGTTACGTGTGGGGAAGGATTAGCACCCCCACAACGCCCTAAATCGGTACCTAGTCGATTAATTAACGTCTTTGCAATGAACTTTATAAATTCGAACTTAATTTGGCTTTTGATCCCATAAAACAAATATGTAAATTTAAAAAAACATTCAAAAGCACTCAAATAAATTAAATTAAAATTACCGAGTCGTTTTATAAAGATAAAGAATGTTCGATTATTTACAAATATCGAGACTATATCTTAAAAGTTATAACAACATTTTCTCGATAAATTTAAATAAACGAACATTTCATTTTCTTTTGTTCCCAAATTTTAGAGTGATAGATCAATTTTTAGGCGTCACTAATGGGATACACTTTTATTTTAAAATCATTAAAAGCGGACCTCAAATCAGTTATGACTGCCCACTTAAAACAATTTTAAATTAAAAGTATATTACCCTTAATCCAATTATGTGATATGTCGAGTTATGCAAATGAGGCTATCATGCAAATTATGCAAAAAAGTGGATGTAATGCCAAAATTAATTAAACAAAATTAAAAATATCATACAACGTAGCATACCAAAAATTATATACATATATTTAAAATTAAAAACTATAACCATGCATATTAACCTATAATGTACAAATGTGAATCAAAAATAAAAAAAAATAAAAACATGATAGGCTAAACTACAAAAATTAAAAAAGTATATACATACATATAAAGAAATGGCCAAATTTAAATGTACGTAAAATTAAACATATAAACTTGGAAATAAACTAGCGACTTAAATAAAAGTACACATGAATCTAGAGGGTCTTATACACAATTTATCCTATTCGGTTTAAATTAAGATAATATGCAAAATAACATAAATAGTACATGCACATTTGAAACGAAACAAGAAAATTAATACAAGAAAGTGACTGCTTTGTAAAAGAGATCATAAATTGTGAGGGCCTAAATTATAATTTACCCGAAACTATTAATATAACCTAAGTAAACTACTAAACTAGCCTAATTTTCAAGCAGAGTCGCTCAAGCTCTTCACTCATCTTCTCCTCTCTCATTCAACTCTCCATTTCGCTCTCACTCTCTCACGTTATGAGAATAGATGATCAAAACAACCCAAAATAGAATACCCCAATCTCAAATAAACTCCCCAAATCGACATCTATAGGACCAAAAGCAGTCCCTCAAATCATAATCCAAAATCGACCAAAAATTTACATCTAAGAAGCGAGGGTTTACCTTCGATGGCTCTGAAAAATACCCTTAGCTATGGCGAAGCAAAACGACGGTCTCCTCCGAGGAAAATTGTAAGTTTTGTTTGGGTTTTGATCTATCTTTTCGTTTTTTTTTTTCTGAGTTCAAAAAGCTCTCAGTTTACTCTCGTTGTTGTGTTTTTTGGTTTGAATGATCTTAGTGATCGTTGAAAATAAGCTTCAGACTGTCACGATAAACCACCAAGGTGAAAACAACATCTCTCTCTCAACTCTATTTTTGTATCAAATTCTGGAAATCGTTGCTATTCTTTTCTATTTAATCTAATTGAAATAAAATGAACATGGCCATAGCATTCCCTTTTTTGATTCCATAAAAAACTCTCTGTGTAATCAATATAAGGCCTCCCATCTTTTTTTCTTTTTCTTTTGCTTTGTAACCTCTCCCCCTGTTTCCAGTGGCTTATAGTAGTTTCTAGGAGTTAAAAAAAAACCGACCCCTCTTGATAATGACTTACTAACCCTTCTCATATCTGTCTTTGATTTCCATGTTGGGCTTCTAATTGGTTTGGGCACGTGCTAGATTCTCCAGGGCTCCAACTTAATCCCGGATAAACCGAGTATCTACAGCTGCCCCTCTTTGCTCATTGTCGTGTAACGATAATAGAGCAAAGATCAAAAGATAATCGAGTTTGTCCGATCCTGAGAACTTTAAAAGATTAAACCACTCCACTGTTACTTCGAGATAAATGAAACTTGAAAAATCTTCAAATGACAGGCCTGCTCCCTCTTGTTCAGGGATTAAGAAACTTGAACAATCTTCTAAAAACGGGTTCGTTCCCTATTGCTTCAGGGAGTAGAACTCGAACACTCTTCTGTTTACGGGTTCGCTCCCTCTTGCTTCAGGGAGTAGAACTCGAACAATGTTCTGCTTACGGGTTCGCTCCCTCTTGCTTCAGGGAGTAGAACTCGAACAATCTTCTGCCTACGGGTTCGCTCCCTCTTGCTTCAGGGAGTAGAACTCGAATAATCTTCTGCCTACGGGTTCGCTCCCTCTTGCTTCAGGGAGTAGAACTCGAACAATCTTCTAGTGTGATTCTGCTTCACCATTATTCCATGAATGCTCAACTTTGAAGGTTAATCCTGAAAATCAAACGTTTCCACCTATTAATGTATGCTTGAAGATTTGAAAAACATTATACTAAAAAAAATTAGAATTTAAAAGAATCTTTGAGAATCAATTTCTCTTGAAGGAGCTTGTCTCGCAACTATATATGAGAATCTTCTTGGACTCGGCTACCATCTAAACCTCTCTCTTTCTGGGACCTTGAATCGGTTAATTCGTGCGCATTTTCTTTTAATCAATTGTTCTGTTTCTTTGTACTTGAGAACCTTCTATTTCCTCCCACATCTGATGATCTGATGGCTGGCTCCAATGCTCTTCCGAGAAGGCTTAAAATGACCCGGAGGACTTATCATCTTGGTGTGAAAATATCCTACCCGAAGGTCTTATGGATGACCCGAAGGATTTATCATCTTGTTCGAGAAACTCACAAATGACCCGAAAGATTTAATCATCATGCTCGAAAGACTTACTGATGACCCGAAGGATTTCATCATCATGCTCAAAAGACTTATTGATGGCACTTACTGACGGATTTGCTTCACTACTCTTTCGTGAAGGCTTAAAAATTACCCGAAGGATTTAATTATCATGCTCGAAAGACTTACTGATGGATTTGCTTCACTACTCTTCGGTGAAGGCTTACAAATTACCCGAATGATTTAATCATCATACTCGAAAGACTTACTGATGGGTTTGCTTCACTACTCTTCCGTGAAGGCTTAAAAATTACCGAAGGATTTAATTATCATGCTCGAAAGACTTACTGATGGATTTGCTTCACTACTCTTCGGTGAAGGCTTACAAATTACCCGAATGATTTAATTATCATGCTCGAAAGACTTACTGATGGATTTTCTTCACTACTCTTCGGTGAAGGCTTACAAGTTACCCGAATGATTTAATCATCATGCTCGAAAGACTTACTGATGACCCGAAGGACTTCATCATCATGCTCGAAAGACTTACTGATGGCCTGAAGGACTTACTTTGATAGATGGGTAAGAAACTTTTCTTACTCTTCAAAATCTCAAATTTCATATTTTAATGAGAAATCCTTCTCATTTCCTTTCATAAAAATGACTTAATGATCGGTCCACGTGCCCCTCTTCAAAGCAAAGCTTTCTCTGTGGATTGACCCCTGCGTTCCTCAAGTTCTGCCTCTCTAAACATGATTCCCTGTATTTGATGTTTAACTTCTACCTTTCAATTGTCGGGATTTTAACATCCTGCATCTTCTCTTTTCACTGGAAGATCTGTCAAAACCATGTGTTTATGTATGAAACACGAATGCAATTAAATGTATTAGTGTAATGCATTTTCTTTTATGCAAATGATGTTCTCATGAATGCATAAATGTCGATTCCATCTTCATTTGACTTGAAAGTGGCAAACTCAGTCTTTTTCTACTTGATCATTCCTTTCCAGGGTTTTCTTTGATATCAGTGTAGCAACTCATAATTTTCAATTTGCATTTTTGAAGAGCCTTCTGATCTTTTTCTATCTTCTTGTTGTCTTCATTTTCTATCTTTATTTCGGAGAAATTGCTTTTTCTCCCAACTTCTTGTTATGGTCAGAAATATGAATGTATTGCCCCATTTCCGTCTTTGGCTCAATTATGCTTTCAGAGTTGTTCTTCCAGGACTCTGCCATTGATCAATGCTCAGTTGATTTGCTT